AAAAAAAAAAGAAAAAAGAAAAAAAAAGTTTCCTCCTAGGGTATCTTTCGTGTCTGAAATCAGCCTCGCCACACTGGACCCAGAGCTCCAGCTCGCCACCCTGCCTGACAGCAAAGAAGGCGTGTTTGCTATCCGCATGCCCTCAGACCAGCTTTCTGAAGACGCTTGAGCCATCTTGAGCAGTGGGTGCAAATCTGGTTCATCTAAATGGACTCAAAGCGAATGATCGCTGAGGTCTCTCTGATCAGAAATAATGGTGATGTGATCTCTGGAGATGCTTGAAGATACTTTAGTGCTGGGGATGTGGGGGGCCTGGGGGTCTGGGGGAGGGGGGGTTGGCTGCTTGCAAGACCTGGTACCTCTGACGATGCACCTTGCAGTAGCCCTGCACTTGCTTTCCTATTTTTTTTATAAACTGGAATATTTTTCCCAGTGGCCACCTAGTAACTTTCACTTGGATGCCCAAGTAAGTCTGATTTTTGCGGCTGGGAGCGTCTTTGCTGTGATGAGGCTTCTCGTCACCCCGTAGCAGCCTCTGCCTTTAGGAAGAGATAGGAAATAGCAGGTTAAGGGATACTGCACTTCTGTCAAACTCCATTTCGCACTGTACAGAACACGTTCAACCAGTATCACTGTGATGCACCTAACTCGGCGTTCCCCGGGAGACCGTGTTAGCCTATATATTCTCAGGGTCCTTCTGCTAGCCAGTACCAGCTCTGGACAGTTGCCTCAGCGCTAGCCTGGCGTACGCATCCTCCTCCTCCTCTTTCCTTTCCAGCATGAAGAGAAGTGCATTGATCAGAAATCCAGCGCTCTCCCACTGGTGTTTATGCTGTGTGGGAACCGCAGAGCGTGTGTCCCCCCACCCTGCGGTGGTTGGAAGGAGCAAGGGGGGGATTCAGCCAGGTCTAGCTCTCCGCCGGAGGGTTTCTGACCCCTCGCCCACCCTTCCTCTGCCTGGAGGTGTTCAGCCGGCACACCCGTTAGCTTCTGGGGAGAACTGGCCCCGTGGCATCCAAGGGATGGTAACTGCTCGGTGCTGGGTGCCGGAGAGCCGTGCTGGGGAGGGAGTAACTGCTGTTCCTCCTGCTGTTGAGGCTCTCCACGGGTGCAGACGCACTGGCACTTTGTGGCGTTCCCGGTGGTTGCTCTGGGCAATCTGTCGGCACCCGGCGCTCGGAGGCGAGACTCGCAGCGGTTCCTTCAGAGGAGTGGTGTGTGTTGCAGCACATCCGAGTTTCTGTTGCTTTGTTCTGTTCTTGCTGTTGTCTCTTGCATTGTACAGTAGCTGTAACCATTCGGAGAAGAACTAGTCCTGTAAAATGCAAACTGAGTAACTTATAAATGTTAAAGGAATTTTTAAAAGAAATTTCAGAGCAGCAGTTACTTCTAATTTTTCCCTGCATTTTTAGCAGATTGTATGGATTTTATATTAGCCTAGTAACTGTCAGGTTTTGATTGGTCAGACTAGTCCCAGAAATAAGGATCTCCAGCCCTTTTGTATCTTTTGTTACAAAATTTGGATAAAACTTTTAATAAAGACTTCAGTTTTTAAAAATCCATTGCAATGAACGTTGCCTTCGCTGCCTCTGCTCTAGGAACATCCGAGCTGCAGCCAGCCTGCAGGAACACTTGGTGGAAGTTTCGGGGCAGTTTTTCTTGAATCTCTTCTGGGAACGGTGACTGTCCTGTGCCCCCAGCATGGCCTGGTTTTGCTCTGAGTCCCAGCTGGGTGGATGCTCGGTAAGTGCAGCTCAGCTGGTGGGGCTGATTTGGGAATGCCAGGGCTGCTTGTGGGATGGGGATGAGGACGGGGACGGCGTGGGGGCTCTGGGGTGGCACAGACCATCCTGACGCAGAGGAGTCCCGGCGCAAATGCGTCCGCAGAACCTGCGTGGGAAGGTGCAGCCGCTGCTGTGCTGTGCTCTCTGCCTTCGGAGGTGGCCGCAGCCGGTCTCACAGGGTCAGGATAGGTTGGGGAAGGGTCCTGCTGCTGGGTTTTAGGGCAGGCACCTGTGTTCTGCTCTGGAGGAGGAAACTGGGTGTTTGGGTACGAACGCAAGCCAGGGAGGAGGAACCCCACTGCAGGTTGGGCTGGG